TTGCTGTGGGCGAAGGCGGCCTCGCTTTCTGCACGGCTGCTCTGCTGGGGCGTGTCGGGCGTACGGACCTTTCCAGGGGCTGTATTTGCTAGTTTACATCACCCTTTTAAAAGGAGTGACTTGAGATTTCTGCTGAAAGACGATTTTCGAAGCAGATGGAGGCAAATCTTGTTCTGTTTCTCTCTGGTCTCCATCAGCTTTTGCTGAAATACCTTCTGAGAGTATCAGAAAGCAAAATTATTCACATCGTTTACATTGCTTCTCCTCTCTTTTTCCCTCTGACCTAGTAAATCTTACTGTCCTGCAAATGTAAATACAAAAGCTGAAATGCAATAGAAGCAAAGCAGTGTCCCACAAACAGCCTCCCAGCTCTTGCTAAAAATATCTCTGTGCGGTGCAGTAACTCCCAGGCATTCTTTTGTCTGACTGCTTTTGAATTCCCTAATTGAAGTTGGTTGGAGGGCAGTGCACCAGTTCCTGAATAGCTCAGATGTTGATTGTGAGTTAAAAAACAAGAGCAAAATTGTTTTTCCTTTGTGTAGCCACGCTTTTATTTACCTCCCCCCCCCATCCCTCATTTTTAATCTCTGTATTTTTTACTTGCAATTTTATTTTGTAAGACAACTGCATTAAATACATCTGTGGAGAAGGGGCCCAGGAGGCAGCGAGCAGGAAGACACAGTTTTCAGTACGTGATGCCACGTGCGCGCTGGAGCCGGAGTGCCGCTCCGTCAGAAATGTCCAGGCTGGCGCAGAGATGCGGTGCAAATGGAGCTTAATGTAGTAGGAAGTGTTAATAATGGTTCCTAATTGCCTACTAATAACTAAATCTGTGGAATTTGGCAGCAATTGGGATATAGTTTTCTCCCGCAATCTGTCCGTTCCCTCCAGAAAGAACAAAGTTGCTTCATTGACATAGAGCAGCGGATCTTAAATTCGTCGAAGGTAACGGGGGAAAGTTTTCCAGATTCCGCATGGCCTCTACCCTTCCACAGAGCCTGTGAGGGTGCTTCCCCGGGTGAAAACTGTCGCGTCTTGGTCCAGCACTCCAGGATTTAACAGAGGAAGAAGAATAAAATCAGGCTGTTTTCCTCCTTTCTGTTTTTTTTTTGTTTTTGGGGTTGGGTTTGTTTTTTTTTTCTTTCTTTTTCTTTTCTTTTTTCATTTGAACTTGGAAACAGAGAAACCCAGGCTCGTTTCAAGCGCTCCCGGAAGGCTGCTGGAAGCACTCTGTGCGTGGGTGGCTTGCCTGGCCGTCCAGGGACTGGTCCCTGGGCTCTCACGGGGACAGGGAGGAAAAGTTTGTGACCGGTAATTTGTGATAAGTCACGGCTGGTCCAAGAAGCTCCCCAGAATATATCTGTTGGGTAAATGTGATAAACCGCGAGTGCTCAGAGCTCCTCTGTGGCCGGTAAACAAACACAAATGTTGCTTTCACTCGAGCCCTTAGTAAATTAAAGGTTTGAAATTGTGATGGAGATTGGAGAGAAGCTGGTTTCAGATGCTGCTTCAGGAGCTGGGATTTGTTCAGGCTCTCTGTGGCGGGAGACATTTCATAGCTGCTCAGCAGCAGCAGAAAAACAAGCACAAATTTTTCTGTCTTCAGGGATAACTGCAGTGAAGCATGCAGGGGGGAGGGCTGTGCCGCTCGCTGGTACCGAAATACCTCCCCATCCCCCATGCAAGTCAAGAGGCCCCGAAACTTCCCCGGCGTACGGGGTTGGGTGCTGGGTGCTGCACCCGCCTGTGGAGCAGGCGCAGGGGCAGGTGCCTGCAGCCCCTGGCCTGGGGGGCTGCGGGGGAGCCGGGTTCCTCCGGCGCTTTCCTTGGAAATGGAGCATCTTCGTAGTTTGACACACACAAAAATAAGACACCAAACGGGTGCGAGCTGGCAGCCTGCGAGCTGGCTTTGCTGCCTCTCACTCTGCCATAACGCAAAACCAGGAAAATGTGTCTGGAGGAGCCTGCAGCACATGTGGTGGTGGGGAGAGCGGCGTCCTGCCTGCGGGCACCCCGCTTTCGGGCACGGTGATGGGAGGCCCAGGTGCCAACTTCCACCTCGCTTTCCTTGCCCCCCTTCCCGCAGGCAGATGGACTCTATAGGTGAGAAATACCCTTATTGTCCAAAACCTCCCTTCCTCTCCAAAACCGTGGCACGGCGGGTGCCAGCGCCTCCTGCTAGCGGGAGAGGTTGGGGCATGGCGGGTGGCGTTGGGCAGGAGCCGTGATGGAGGCAGCGCGCCGGAGCCGGGCTGTCGGCACTGGGGCAGGATCGCAGCACTGCGGTCGCATGCCCTTCTCTTCGCTCCTAGGTTAACGTTTAACCTACTTGTGTTTCAGTACCTCGGGTTGTTTGATGTTATGGGGCACTTTGTATGGCTCTCACTGTAGATGAGCAGCCTGACGGAGGGGTATGGCTTATCTGCTGTGGAGGAATGTGAAGAATTTCATGGGGAGGAAGATGAGATTTTCCCTTTCCCAATGGAGGGAAACCAAGTCTGGGCGGGTGACATTGTAATGTTTTATATACACGGGCAGCTCCCTGCTTTGGGAGCCTGTATGTGAAGTTTCCACCTGGCTAAAACATTTTCACTCTGACTGTAAACCTTAGAGGGGAGAGTGCTCAAATGGAAAAGTTGACGCAGCCTTATCTGCGGTGCAGCCGCTGTACGATAGAGGAATCTGAGCCCTGGCTTATGTCAGGCTTGAAGCTTTCCCCTTTCCTTCCAGCAAACTGCATACCGTTGCCTTGGAGCCGTTCCTTCATCGGAGGCACATCCTTCAAGGAGTGTAGTTTGGTCAAGAATACAGGTCTGGGTTCATTTTAAATATACATCGAGTTCCCCGATGGCTGCCTCTGCTACCTCCTTGCAGCAGCCCGATGTCTTTCGAATGGTTCTCCTTGGAGTGCCGTGGCATCGCCCTCCCAGCAAACAGCAGCATCCCTTCTCCAGAAACTTCAGCACTTGCCTTCAGTGTGCAATTATTCTTGCAGGTCATCCATTCCCCTCGTCCAGTAAGTGACACTTCTAAAATGACTGACGCTTAACATAGTCAAGGGTCACCTTACCCAGCTCTCGGTGCCTAAATCTTTCATTGCAGCATGCGCGAGCGGTCTTTCAAACTTCCTGCCGGCTCTGCTGCGGCAGTTCATTAGCAGGAAAAAAAGCCTGGAACTAAATTTGCCAGCTGTGCCCAGACCCCATCGCTAGCGCGGTGGAGCCGTCCCCTCTCTGCCTGGTGAGGTGGGAACCACTGCCGGAGCTCACCGCTCCCCTTGCACCGTAACCCCGATAACTGACCCGAAACGGCGGCTGCAGGGTCAGGCTGACATCTGGCACGCTACCGGCACCGCTGCCAGGAGGGGAGGGAGGTGGAAACACTGGTTGGAGGGGAAGGAGCTGGAGGAGGACAAGAAGGGAGGGGGAAGGACAGCCAGGAGCTTCTGGAGCTGCGGGGTAAGACATTAAACTGGAGAAGGGGCAGAATATAATGCTCGGTGATTTCTGCAAGCGGCCGGCTGCTTCCACAGGATGTCTCAGGGCTAAGGGCAGTGCTTGTTTTCTAGCAAGACGCTACAAATAATGAAAATAACGGTTGCCGTTAATTGCCGTATATCCATCACGCCTTGGTTTTCATTTGTCTTAAGGCAGGATGCATTTGCAGATGAATTTTGGAAATAACTGAGGATCAAATGTTGTTTTTTGTTCTTTGGCACTGAATATTTTGCTTACTGTTCATGTTCGGTGATGCAGATCTACGTGTGTATTCAAAGCCTGTAGCTAATGTTACAATTTCCTTCCTGCTATGAGCTTCTGTTTTCTATGCTCACACCTTTCTGGAAGCCTCCTTTGGGGCTACGATATTCCCTACTTGGTTTTGTATTAAAGGAATCTTTTTCTGTAAGGGTTGAGAACAGTCTTCTCCTTTTAGCTTTGGGTACATAAAAGGATAATACTCTTTTCACCTGTTAAAAAAGCAGACCAACATTTCAGAAGGCTGAGCCTGCTACAGCATGTTTTGTGGAGGAAACAACATTTCCCTAAGCGGAGAAGCTTTTGCTGCTGAAGCAGAGGCTAAGGGTTGATGGTGTGCTGTCATGGTCAAAATCCCGTTCCCCAGCTCTCGGGGGGGGGCGAGGACTCCCCTTCTCTCCGCTTCCATCCCATACCACCCAGCACGTGGGTTTTGGGAGCGGGGTGCGTTCCTGGCGTTGCACTGCAGAGATGGGGGCTGTCCAGCTCCGGAGGCGCCGGAGGCTTGGTGCTCGGGACGTGGCCTGATCCGGCACGCCGCGAGTCCCGCTGCGTGGTGCGAGATGGGGGGGAAGGCTGCGGCCTTCTGTGCTGAGATTGCCACAAACCGGCTTCCTTTTCTCGGGCGCTCTGAGCGCGTCGCGTCTGCAAATGGGGGCTGATGCTCGTGCACCCTCATAAAGATCTTAATTTGTTCAGATGGGAATTTACTATTTTAAAATGGCTTTGATTATCATACGGAAGAATTGTTTACTGGCTGTACATATGCTTTGCTGTCTCCGTCCCGTGCTTTGCTAAGAATAGAAACCAAAGCATTACTCTGCGCGTCTTACAGCTGTGGCTGTTGAAAAACTGACTTGCCCAAATGTTTTGTACGTTTGTGGCTGAGTCGACAATGGATCCGAGGTTCAAAACTGCCACTTCTCAGCTCAAACCACTAATCAGCATTGCTTCTGAAAGGACTATAGATAGTGTGTGCAAGCTGATATTACAGAAATAAACTTTTCATAACCTCCCTTTGTTTTCTGTAAATCCCCAGACTTGCAGGTCTACACCGTTATCTATAGGCACTCACAAGGCCATCCTCACCACGATGTTCTCGCCACCCTATTTAATTGCAAAGGAGCCTTTTGGAGTAGCCTTTAAAAATCCCTATCACCGTTGCACTCTCTTCATTAAATGAATGGGGCTGTTGTACATCTGACAGCTGCCATTTTAATGCTGTGGTATTGTATTTCCTTGCAGGAGGCTCAACCTCACGAGGCAGATTAGGACTGAGAAAATCCAGGTTCCATTAGAAACCATTGGAAATGAGTTCCCAAGTTTTTCTAAGGTAAATCAATAATGCATATAATCTCCCTGGCTGGACTTAGTGACCGAGCCAACAGTTCATTTAACCACTTCTTTTTTTTTTAAAGCACTTTCAAAATCATTCCTGTTGAGATTTACTTCTCACTCTGAATTGTTGTTACGAAGTTCTCGGGCAGCATTTGTTTTCGAGTGCTGCCAAAACTTTGGTAATTTACTCGTCCCTGTGCTTAGGTGGAACCGTAGTCACTGCTGCAATGCCGAGCCTTGCGTCAGTACCGACATAGCCACTAAATTCCTGCGAGTTTGGGAGCGGAGGATGCTGCTCAGCTTGCACGCATCTCCGCTTCCAGACAGGCTGCTCAAGCCCCGCATCTGGGTCCTGCGTCCTCACGTGGTGCTCTGTGAGCCCAATGCTTGGCGTGTCCCCGTCCCCCCTTGCCTTCTTCCAGTCGATGTGCGTAGGTGGGAGCGTGCTCCTTGCTGGAGGCAGAAACACATTACTTTGTTTATGACCGTTCCTGAGCGCTCTGTCGCGCCTCCTCTGCTGTTTTGCAGCCCGATCCTGGAAGGAAACAGGAATTCGATTACAGAATAATGAAATCGAGAAAGATGAATTCTTTTCAGTGTTGCAATAACAGGTTTTGCTAATTTTTAATTTATTTGAAATTAGCTTTAATAAGCAAATTGTCCTTTCTCAGAGCAAATATTCCAAACTCATGAATCTTTCAAGCTAAATATGATAAAGGACCACTGATTTTTTCTCTTCTGTTTAAACTAATGCTTGAGTGAAGTGAGGAAGATGATTAGCTTGTAAATGAGCGCAAGAAGGCAGCCAGCTCCAGTGGCTTTCCACGCTGGCACTGCTGTGTCGCTCGGCACTACGAGCCTGGTTGGGATCAGGCGTGAGAGCAGGCTATCGTGTCTGTCGAATCAGCCAGCACACGTGGGACGGCGTTCATGTCAGCCCTGCTTTGGGCTGGCAGTGGGCAGGCGAGCGATACCTGGTACTACACAAAGAATGGAAGGGCAGAGTTGCAAATTATGCTTTCTTTCGGTACAAATTTGAGGTGATTCAATGAATTTTTGTACTAGAGAACTGCTTTGTGTCACATGATAGTCATCCTTTTGATTCTGTAGGAGGTTCCTTGCAATGAAGTTTATCATCTCTTCGAAACTCGGCCTTATTTAACAGTACTTGAACCGTCAGATATTAAAATAATGTCTCTCGAACCACTTGAATGGGATAAGACTTGGCTTGATATAGGGCTGTGGTCTTAGAAAACGTATAATTCCTCCTCCTCCCCCCGCATTGATATTACTATCAGATTTTTCTTTTTAGCTGTGGCAAAGAGAAGATTGAGTTGCTAGAACATGATCTATTTTGATTACGAAAAATCTTAGCGCTGCTAATTTAGTCAGCTAGTATGTTACGAATGTAGGTTCTGTGTGTTCAAACTGTTCTTGGTTTTTTTTTTACTTAATAAGTTCTCCAGATAGTTGCCATGGAAATAATCCTGGATTCGGAGAGGATCTACAGGCCCTGAAGATGCCGGCACGGTGGGAGCAGCGTGTGGTCTGCACGCTCCGGGCTCTGCTCCTGGTCAAAACCCGGTTTTCTGGGTGGTGCCGGTTCTAGGACGGGAACCAGCTTGTTCCTCCCACGGTTGTCCCGGTTCCCCCCTTTTGGAGTTTTGGGCAGAATTCTCCTGATTTTTGTAGTGCAGAAAAGTTGAAGAAAACCCTCACTGCTGGTTTTCACTGCTTGAAGGTTAATTACGATTTTCTATCTTGTGCTTGCCTGAATCATGCTAATGTGAAAGGGTTTGGCTGTTGCCTTTGCCTTACCTGAGCCTCTGTGGCTGCGCTGGGGGTCTGCGCTGAATTTGAGGAAATCTCCCCTGCTGGGTGCCACCAAAGGTGCTGTGCCTGCCGTGCCGGACGGTGCCGGCCCCGGCGGTGCCGCAGCAGGAGCCTCTCCCGGGCCCCTGTTTGTGCTGCAGAAGAACAAACCTGCTTCCTCTGGGCCTGTGTTTTCTTTTTCAACAACTTCCTTTTTGTGCAAATGTTGTGTTTTTCATGAAATTGCCGTGCGTTGTTTTCAGACACGATCATCGGAATTGTTTTGTACGTCTAAACCAAACCTGGGTGCTTGAGACAGCCAGTCCTAATCGCAGGAAAATTCAGGTTATTTTCCTGGCTTCGCAAGACTTGAAAAATGCCTTATTATTTAGGCTGGAATTGACTTTAGTTTGAGGCATGGGACAGATATTTCATGCAGCGTACGGGGTATGTGAATCCCGTTGGTCAGTGGGATAGGACTAAGCGCAGGAGCTGCAAAAGCAGCAGCTCATCTTCACGTACCCGATTTTTGCTGGAGTGATTTCCTAGGGAAGCATCTCTTGAGTGGCGGAGACCCTGAAGCAGCTAAAGTTAAAATTTTATTGCTTTAATATAGATACCGGGCCAAACAACCAGCATGTTTAAGAGCATATTTCAAAGGTCTGAAAAGTGGTCATGGTAGATGTAATTTTTGGGCGAATAGTGGAAGAGGTGTGTTGGTGAGTTGTAGGGGCAAAGCCTCGAGAGCTGCTTTCCTCCGTGGTGGGCCGGTACAACGGGACGCTGTCCCTTCCTTGGTGGTGAAATACAGGTGAATAAGACCTTGGCTGTGCGCTTTCGCTTTGTAGCTGAAACAAAAACCTATGAGAGATTTTTCCTTTTTTTTTTTTTTTTTTAATTTTCTTTTTTTTTCCTGGAGAGCTGAAGTGCGCTTTCTCCTTCCCCCCTCATATTTACATACATTATTGAATGGCTCTTGCTGTGATACGTAGGAAAACGTGCCATGCAGCCTGCCCTTCGTGTGGCACGGTAACAGAGATGGAGAACCCCGTCGCACCGCTGACGTCCCACCTTTCACACCCCTGGAGCACGCTTGGCCTGAAACGCTCCGCGTTTCGGTCATCCCGGCGACCAGGGGAGTCTCAAACGCAGATTTTAAAAAGCCAAATCAGCACCTTAACGAAGATAATTGAGACCCCAGCAGCTCGCGGTAAGAGCCCACCTTCCTCTTCCAGCTTGGGGAGGGACAAAACCAACCTGCAGTCCTGCATCCTCTTACACTGCTCTGGGTGTATTAAATTAGCAAGCAGAGTGACAGCTGGGCAGGAGGCTGGGAACAATGAAGATAAAGTTAGCTTTCAGCGATGTGACCCTCTCCAGGCTGCGCGCCAGAAGACTATAAATAATTGATAGGAGCAACCACCCTCGCCAGCACGCTAATGTACAGCGCGGTTCATACAGCGAGCGGAGCTGCATTACCCATTACATCACCGCTGCTCTCAGCCTGGGCTCTCCTATCAGCAATGTAATTTTACTGCTTTTAAATAATAAATTGCGCTGGGAGCTGAAATACTCCGTCGCCCCATTCAAGCCTGCTAGGGTGTGCAACTACACAAATGAATTTTACATATGGTAAAATAAATTTTGTATCAAGCTAAAGAAAAGTTCTTGCCCCACGGTCTCGCCCAGTATCGGTAACAGGGGTTTAGGGCATCAAAGGCAGGCGGTTCCAGCTAGTGACTTTTGATCTGGCTCGGTATCTGGAATGATTTTTAGGCTTGACTTGGGATCACTGGCCTAAGTTCACGGGTAGTTTCAGGGAGTAAAGTTCTCCGGGGTTGCAGGTCAGAAAAATCCCCTTGGCTGCGGCTGTTTCCGTGAGCGGAAGGCGTGCGAGCGGCGTGCACGAGCTCTTTGGTCCCGCAGAGCGGGAGCTTTCACTTTCAATGGCTGTAGTTTTCGAGCAGTGAAGAAAGCTTGATGTAACCCAAAACCTGATTTCTTTCCCCTAAGTCTTTACATAAGTTCTGTAACCTCTGCTTATCCACATACTTGTGTGGAAAAGCTAAAATGCGCTTTGACTGTTCCAGGCTCTGGGGACAGGGGGGTCTCTGTGCACGTGGGGACACCTTTTTGGTGGATCCTTGCAGCTTTTTATGCTCATTTGTGTGGGTCTCCAAGGATTTTGAAAATACAATTTTAAAAAAATTATATAACTGCTACACTAGAATCCGCAAGCATCAAAAACTGTCCAGAAATTGGGCAGGGTGTCGTGCCCCGTTCCTGTTAAGTTAGTGGCGAGTAAATGGAGAAGTCAAACCGGAGAGCAGTCAGCTGTTAGTAGGGAAGAAATGAGTGAGATTATGAGAAAGCACGGAGCAAGGACCTGTGGTGCGTGACCAGAGCGGGCTGGCGGCAGCGGGACACAAAGGTGAAAGATGCTGAAGAGCAGGCGCTGAGGATGATGCAACTTCACCTGGTGGGGCACGGTGTGCGGCCGAAGGTGCGGTGTGCCGTGGGAGGGTGCGCTTGGCTGGGTCGCGTTGGCTTCCAGCATCGCTGGGGTGGGTGCTGATCCCGTTGCAGGAGCGGGTACAGTGAAACACAACGTGCAGGGGCGTTCGGTGTCATGCAGCGAGACAGTAGCTGGGCAGGGAGGAGAGCCACCGGCCGGACAGTGCTCCCAGGAGCTGTGCTGGCAGGCGGGCTCTCGGGCATGGTGATTTAAGTACAACCAGCCTTGTTCATAGGAGAAATAAAATGCCAGAATGGTATCGTAGGAGATGGCTTAATTTGTTGAAAGAAGATAAGGAACAGATTTTCGCTAAGGGTATGATTCAAGGTAAGATTAGAAACACGTTCTGATATTATAGGGCACTGGCACCAAGGGCTTGCAGCCGGGTGTAAAATTTCTTCTGTGATCCCTCACAAAAAATCCTCTGCTTTGCTCAACACTGAGCATGAAGTAGACGTTCGGGACCCTCTTCCAGGAGACGTCTGTCCTATGCATGCATCTTACAAGTCTGAAAATCTGTGCAGGGTTACTGTGAAAACGGTGGTTTTCACACCTTCCTAGAGCAAGACTTAAAGAATTATTATTTCCAAATCAGGAAGTGAGCAATGTCGCAGAGCTACATAAGAAAGCATAAGCTGCTTACGGTGGATTAAAATGACTGACCATTT